TTCTGACCTGGAAAATGCATATAAATCGCTTGGAGGTTCAAAGCCTGTCAGTGATCTTATTTAATTTAAGTGTGACATCTCAACTGGTGTGTATTGTTACAGTTTTAGTGGTGAGTTAGTAGCGTGTAGTTATTTATCAAGTTACATTTAGTACGGAATTCCATTATGCGACACTTGTTTTGGATCATTGGGCCAATTACGAAACTCTATTATTGGTTTGTTTTAACAAGGAAGGGTTGGGTAAGTGGGCCTTAAACATAGGGAAAAGAACCCAAGCCCAAAGGAGTTAAAAGTTTGAAACAAGAAAACGGAACTCTAGCCAAATGTTCTCCTTTTCCCCTTTTTCCTCTCTTGTTGAAGCCGTCGGCCACCCCCCCTCCACTCGGACTCTCCCTCTCCGACACAGCAGCACCGACGGCAGCCATCTCAGGCGGACACAGCGGCAGCAGCGGCGGCGGCAGCAGGTGCAGCGTCGAACAGCAGCGGCGCGTGACGGGCGGCGGCGTCGTGCGGCGGGCGGCGGCGCGTGACGTTCGGGCAGCTGCAGGCGGCATCGATACACGCGGGGCTGTGTTCGCGGCGTCCTTTCTCCGATTCAACAAGCCTAACGACCTCGAACAACTTAGATCCGTGAAACCCGGTAACTTTTCTTTGACTCACCTTTGTTCGAAGTTAGATTTGGAGTACCCACACCCAAACGAAATCGATTTAGCATACCCACACCTAAGCGGGGTTGTTTTGTAGCAAGGGACATTGAAACGAAGCCGTTGGAGATCGTATTGGACGTTTTTCGCTGCTGCAAAAACGTGGACAGCAGCGTATTGGTGGTGTTCGGCGATTATCTACATCCGTTGAAACCCGATTTAYGCTACCCACGTCTTGGCAAGCTAGATCTAATTTACCCACACCTATACGAAGTCGTTTTGCGGTAACGAGCCCCTTTGAACCCTCTTAAAGATGTTTTTTTAAGGCTGAATAGTACATTTAAATTGCTGTATTTTTCTGCTTTTTATGCTTAGGTGTGAGGCCGACGCAACTTAAACACGTGGTTGAGTAAGTAGCACCAGGGGGCGAGTGCGTGCGTTATTTAGCGTTAATGGAATGTTCTTGATGCTGTTTTTTTTTTGTTTTTCTTGCTAAAATAATTTAAATAAGCATGTAAGGATTGTTGGTTTGAATTGTGAATTCTAGCGATCTTGTTGCCGTATTTCTATTATTGAACACTTTTAAGGAAACATGTTTCCTATTCTTGTTGTTGTAGGTGAATAGTAGATTCTGAACTGTTGTAGTTAGAAGTAATTGGCTCATGACGTTGTGCTAATGGGATGTAGATGAAATGCTAGCTTGGTTATATCGATAATTTAATTCATATTGTCTGGTTGTGAGCTGTTGGATGAATTTTGTTTATTACGTGGAAAAGCATGTTTGTAACGGCGCAGTGATTTAGAATGTGGGGGGTTTACTTGTAGGTGGTCACGGAAGGGTTAGTGAAGTGGTGGAGGGTGAAGGGTAAGGGACGGGTTGATGGACCGTTAACCCTGAGTGTTCTGACCTGGAAAATGCATATAAATCGCTTGGAGGTTCAAAGCCTTGAGTAGTGGCCTTGGGGATAAATGACAAGGCCAGACGTCAAATTTTCTGTAAACGTGTATTGGGGTCTTGGGGATAAATGTCAAGGACCAATACGCTGGAAGTCATCGGTACCTTGGGGATAAACGGCAAGGACCGGTGCACAGTTCAGGTCTTGGGAATAAATGGCAAGGCCGAACGTCAAGTTTCTGGAGAGGAGTATTGAGGCCTTGGGGGTAAATGTCAAGGGTCAATACGACTCGAGGAGTTAGGCTTGAGGGATTAAAGAAGAGTGGAGCTTGCGAAGTAGTGGTGTTTGGCCTTGGGAATAAATGGCAAGGTCGGACATCAAGTACTGGAGAAGGAGGAGGTACGGTGACTTGGGAATAAATGTCAAGCTATTTGTTCGCTATTTCTCTCTGCTTATTTGTTTGCCTTGCTCTTGTTTTGTTCTAAATGTCAAGTTAATTGCTCGCTATCTCTCACTGCTTATTTGATTGCCTCGCTATTGTTTTGTTCTTTATGTTGGGACTGTGAGCATAATTTATTTTGTGCTAGTTAGGAAGTGCTACTTACGGAGTACCTTATGTACTCACCCCCCTTTTTTTTGTACCTTTATATGTTTCAGGTGTGAACGGGGTCGACCGCGGTGATGATGTGGAGAGGGCTTGACCGAGGAAGGATCACTAGCTTAGTTAGTGAGGATAGGGGGAAGAGTAGTTGGGTACGAATAGCCTGGAGATATATGTTATTGCTGGGTGTGAACCGTGGAGGAAATTTTGTATTCTTTAGAACTACTTTAATTGTTATGGATGATGTTGGTAAACGCGTCGTTGTTGTYGTTGGAGTTTAGGTGCACGGTTGTTTTTACTTATTTAATAATTTTTGCCACTGAGGTGATTTTGAGATGTTGTTGTTTTCTTTTAAATTGCCCACGGAGGGCGGAGTTCTGACAGTTGATGATATTTATATTTCTGTTAGAATGTATGGAAGTCGAAGCTTTATTTCTTCTAAATTATTTTCCAGGAGGTTGCTTATCTCGTGTTTAGAGTTAAGGTTAGCCAGAAGAATTATTTTAGCGTTGCCTCAGATGTTTTTATGAATTCTTGGGGTGTTACAAATATGAATCATATTCATATTAATTTTATTTGAATCTCATTCAAATAATTTCTCTCATAATATATAGTTTTAATTTAGAATTAACTATATATTATAATGTATCAATATACATATATTTCTTTGAGTAATTTCAACAGTTCAAATTCTTCCAAAAACTTGATCCTCATTTTAGCCGATATGAGCTAGCAAATGGACCTAATAGACCTACAGATCAGAAGCTCAAATGATACGAGATTAATCGGTCAAACTCATTGACCGAGTTAATCAACATTCGTTAACTACGGGTCACTCCACTAAAGTCCCACAGTTGCACTCTTCTCACTGCAGAATGTTTTCGTATCCATAGATATATGACCATTAATGACAAGTCAATCCTTCACGAGTGTTCGTAACCACAGATGGGTCAAATTACCATTTTACCCTTGTGTTACATCTTGTTCCTTAAATACCACTGCTCCTCTAATGAACAACCCAGTTATAGTCCGACCAATAACCAGAAGTCCCTTTCGGGCCAGTGAGAGGGTGAGACCCCTTATTCAAGTCAGCATTTAGGAGAACACTCATCTACTCCCCTAAGGTCGGGGATGAGTGAATTCCATCTTGTGAAGTTATGTTCCCAGCTCCCCACTCGGTCTTGTCCCCAAAATGGTAGGAATGTTGAGTCGGCGACTCGGGTCACTCTCACCCATACAGATCAAAGGACGAACCCTCACGGGCAGGAGTCCATAACTCACTCATGATTGAGAATGAGTTGTCCGGTCATCTTAAGAAATAGCAATCTGTTAGTTAACAGTGTTACATCTAAAGATTGACTACTTTGTGGTCCGGTCTTATACAAACTCATTGTATAGGATACCCCCACTCGCATGTCTCCACACGAACGACCTGGATCTAGTCGTCTGTAACATTTACAGAGTGGGCCATATCCATAGTGTTGCCAGGATAAAGTACCCAGCCTTATCCATAGACTATAGACCCTTTAGGTTATTCGCGGGACATTATCGACTTGTATATCAGAGGTATATCAAATATATACCTAGTATATCAGGGGTATATCAAATATATACTTGGTATCTCAGGGGTATATCAAATATATACTCAATAGATATATTGTCCCGGTTACGTGATAATAACCTCGGATGTTTAGTTTATTGGATTTTGGACAATGCAATGCTATAAATTCAACAACAAATTGATTGAATAAAACTTTATTGAATATACATTTGTTTTTACATAAATACAAACTACGAGTTTAGGGCAACACACCCAACATGGATGCCATGCGGGGTATCCAGACTCAAGAGCAGCCTTGGAACTTTAAGCGTTCCCACAAGGTAGGAAATACGTCCGAGTAGGAGCCAAACCAGATCTACTACTCGAGAAAAGTACCTTGGAACATCAGGTCTCCAAAGTCTTGCTCACGATCGAGTGGATGCCACGTGGGCTATCCGTACTCAGGGACAGCTTTGGAACTCTAAGTGTTCCCACAATGTAGGAAATACATCCGAGTAGGAGCCCTATCTAGGTCCGCTACTCGTGAAAAGTGCCTTGGAACATCAGGTCTCAAGAGGCTTGCTCATGGCTGACTGGATGCCACGTGGGCTATCTGGACTCAAGGGGCAATTCGGCACATCAATTGTTGTAGATGGAGTTGGGGTACGATAGTCGTCTGCTGACACCAGTCACACCTGTGCGCAAACTTTTGGAATCTTTTTCCACAGAGAGATGATAAGTGGGAGAAAGAGTGAAATGGAAATCTCTTATGGAATGGAAATTGGAAGTCATTTAAAAGAACGAAGAGTAATGTGGGCCAGTAATACCCTTGGCACAAGATTTTTTTCGCAAGTGCTCATCCGACCAGATGATCTCCACAGTTGCCTTCGTGGACTTCACTGATCATGTAACCGGTCTCTGCAACTCCTATGCACTGGAGGAGCTGGAGGGAGTACCATATCTTAAACAGGACTCTGTCCTTGAGGAGGTAGTGGGCTGCCCACCTTCTAAAGCGGAGGGCTTCTACTCGGTCTTCGGGCAACTCCCTAATTTCCAAATGCTTGATGATGAGGGTCATCCAGTCCGCTGTCCTCGAGAGGTCAATGTCCATGACCTCGGGTTCGGCGAGGCTTAAGCCGTGTAAGATTTCAACCATCAGCGTTCGAGGCAGGTTCATCTCATAAGATGACGCCAGGCAGGCTAAGGCGTCGGCGTTAGCATTTTGGAGCGCAGGACCTGCTCGATAGTGCATATTTCAAAAGATTTCACGAGTGATCGTACCTTTCAGAGGTATGAAGCCATTCGGTCATCCTTGGCTTGGAACTCTTGGTTGACCTGGTTAACCATCAGTTGCGAGTCATTGACTACACTTACGTGGCGGGCCCCCATTGATTTTACTGGTTGGAGCCCGACGATCAACGTGTCCTATTTAACCTTGTTGTTCGAATTCTGAAACCTAAAGTGTAGGCATACTCGTGCCAGCTTCCCTTAGGGTTGGTTAGAAAGATTTCTGCTCCACAACCCTGTTCGTTCGTGATTTCGTCAGTATCGATGATCCGATGATCCGGCGACTCTACTTGCTCTCCTGGTCATCTGGTGTTGTTGTTGGGGTTAACTCGACTACGAAGTCGGTCGTGACCTAGCCCTTTATAGACGTTCTGGGGAGTACTGAATGTCGTATTCGCTCAACTTGATCGCTTATTTCATGATCCTCCCCGAAGCTTCCGCATTTTGGAGCACTTATCGGAGGGGGTGATCAGTGAAGACTATGATCCGATGGGCATGGAAGTAGGGTTGCAATCTCCGTGCCGAAATGACCAGGGTCAGGGCCATTTTTTCATCTTGCATGTAACGGGTCTCTGCCCCTATCATGGCCTTGCTGGTGTAATACACCGGGGACTTATTCCCGCTTTCTTCGTCGACGAGAGCTGAGCTAACTGAACTCTCCGAGACGGCCAGGTAGAGATACATATCTTCCTCTGGGTTCGGATTTGCGAGAAGGGGGCTAATGCCAGATACTCTTTGAGTTGCGTGAATGCCTTCTCGCACTTGTCCGTCCACTCAAATTTGCCATCTTTCTCAAAGTTTTAAAGAATGGTAAGCACTTGTCGGTGGACTTGGAGACGAACTTGTTCAGGGCGGCGATCTTCCCATTTAAACTCTGAAGTTCCTTTAGGTTGGCTGGCGACTTCATGTCGAGAATGTTGGGTTTAGTGCCCTAAGCTCGTGAGTTTCTAATTTATAAACATTTTATTTATTATTAATAAAAGTTCTTTTATTATTTCTTTGCATTACTCGTATTCCAATAAACTAAGAATCAAAGTTATTTAATATAATTGGAACTGTATATATTTGATATACTATATATGTTTAATATACAGTGTATATATTCGATATAAAATATATATTTAATATATAGTGTATATATTTGATATATAGTATATATTTGATATACAAGTGGATAATGTTCCAGTAATAACCTAAATGGAATATAGTACATGGATAAGGTTTGGTACTTTATCCTGGTAACACTATGGATACGGCCCGCTTTGTAATAGTTACAACAACTTTATCCAGGTTGTTCATGTAGAGACATGCGAGTGAGGGTATCCTATACAATAAGTTTGAATAAGACCGAGCCGCAAAATAATTAATCATTGGCTCTAACACCGTTAGTCAATAGATTGTTATCTCTAGGATGACTAGGTAACTCGATCTTAATCTTGAGCGAGTTATGGATGCCTCCTACCTATAAGGGATCGTCCTTTGACTTGTATGGGTGAGAGTGGCCTGAATTACCGACTCAATAATCCTACCATTTTGGGGACGAGACTGAGTGGGGAGCTGAGAAGATAACTACGCAAGATGAAATTCACTTCTTTCATACTTTAGGGAAGTAGATTAGTGTTCCCTTACATGCTGACTCCGGGACTTTAACAAGGGGCCCCACCCTATCACTAGCCCGAGAGGGACTTCTGGTTATTGGTTGGACAATAATCGGGTTGTTCATTAGAGGAGTAGTGGTATTTAAGTAGCAAGATGTGACTCAGGGGTAAAACAGTAATTTGACCCCAACTACCATTACGAGCACTCGTGAAAGATTAACTTGCTATTAATGGTCGTACATCCGTGGAGACGAAAATATTATGCAGTGAGAAGAGTGTAGTTGCAGGTCTTTAGTGGAGTGACCCGCAGTTAACAAATATTTATTAACTTGGTTAATGAGTTTGACTAATTAATCTCGTATCGTTAGAGCTTCTGATGTGTAGGTACATTAGGTCTCATTGCTAGCTCACAATGGGTAAAATGAGGATCAAGAATTATGAAATAATTATAAATGTTAAAATTATATAAGGGAATGTATATAATGTATATTGATACATTATATAAATCTATGTTAATTTTGGATTAAGATTTAAAAGTAATACTATGTATTTTGAGAGTATTGGCTAATATTATGCATGAAAAAAATCCCTATATTCTATATTTTGAATTACTTTTAAGAATTCATTTAGGAATTCAAACGAAGAAGATATCCTAATGGTCTTTGGATTTCCCTTAGATTCAGGAGAAGATGTCTTATATCCAAAAGGATAATATATTTCGTTGGTCTTAGGATTTTTCCTGTATAAATAAAAACAAAAACAAAAACAAAACAAAAACAAAAAAAACTCTCAACTTTCTTACTCTCTCAATCCATTGCAATTGGATCCCACAATTCGAATTCTCAATCGAGAGACTTAGCGAGGAATATCAAGTGGTGTTGTCTTATTGGGTTTACACGAAGAATAGTCTTCAAAGGTAATATCCAACATTCTTCTCTGTTTATATTTTTCTATGTTTTATTTTTCAAAAGAAATTCAAGAACGCGTTCGACTGCTTCCTCTCTGGGATCCACATCCTTTCAGAGGACGGCTCGAATCTTCTCAGGGTTGCCTCGATTCCTCGTTGTGCACTATGAAACCGAGAAACTTGCCCGACCTAACCCCGAAGGCACATTTCGTTGGGTTGAGCTTCATACCATGACCGTGCGTGACTTGAAAGCCTCGGATAGGTCTTCCTCGTGTTGCTCGGCAATGCGACTTTTGACGAGCATATCATTCACGTTGATCTCAATGTTCCTCTTGATTTGAAAGGCGAACATCTTAGTTACCATCCTTCGGTAGATCGCCCCAGCATTCTTCAATCCGAATGACATTACCTTGTAACAGCATAACCCTTGTTCGGTTATAAATAAGGTATATTTTTATCCACAAGATTCATCATGATCTGGTTGTATCTCGAGTACGCATCCATAAAGGTCAGTTATTCTTGTCTGACAGTGGCGTCGACTAATTGGTCAATTCGCAAGGGGGAGCTGTCTTTATGACAAGCATTGTTTAGGTTGGTGAAGTCTACGCATATTCGCCATTTACCATTGGCTTTCTTGATAAGGACCACATTGGACAACCAATCCGGATACTGCACCTCTCGAATGAAGCCGGCTTTGAGTAGTTTGTCAACTTCTTCCACCGTGGCAGCATTTTGGGCCACATCCATGGCTCATTTCTTTTGCCTAACTGGCCTGGCTTCAGGATTGACGTTTAATCTATGAACAGGGATGGCGGGGTCGATCCCGAGCATGTCCCCATGGGACCATGCGAAGACATTCACGTTCGTTTTGAGAAACTCGATTAGGTGTTCCTTTTCGTCACTCGGCAGCCCTACTCCCACGTGGGTTACTCTCTCGGATCCCATGATGGGAAACGACTCTAGTTCTTCTATCGACGGGATGCTCTTTTCACGCTCGGCGTATGCCTTTGGAGCATATTTTGTCGCACTCGTGATTGGTCAGTCTACGGGGGATGACTCCTCCATTTGAGCCTGTTTCTGGTCTGCTAGCAGCAAGTCGGGTTGGACAGTGCTGACGTCTTCGACGGAGGGAGTTGACTGCTGCTCCCCGCAGTCGACCCCGACAACGCAAACAGCCTTGGGCTCCTTCATGGTCGTCGCATCACATTCTCGTGAGGCCTGTTGCTGTCCAACCATGGACCCCATCCCACTCAAAGTAATGAACTTTATTACTTGGTGGTAGGTGGATGAGACGACTTTAAAGTTATATATGGATGTCCTGCCTAAGAGGGAGTTATATGTAGAGGGGCCATGTACTACCACGAATTCCTCGACCATAGTGACAGTATCCTTGCCCCTAAGGTTAGCGACAGTTCAATACTGCTTTATGGGTAGACCTTTTTGCCCGAGGGACATCTTTTTAGCTTGGAGGCATCCTATTCGATGGTTCACAACACCTAAAGTATGATAACGTTGGCCAAGCTCCCTCCGTCCACCAGCACTCAGTGCGTAGGCATGTGGTCGATATTCACGATGATTACGAGTGTCTCGTTTTAAGGTTGGAGCTGGACGTTGGCTTCCCCGTTTTCGAAGGTAATGGGCGACCCGAGCTCTCGTTCGCACAGTGAGGATTTTACGAGTCGTCGTACTGTTTCGGGCCTGTCAGGCCCAGAATAGCCCCCCGCGTGCCCTCAGCAGAGGGTCAATATGGCTTAAGGTAGCTCGTTCTTCTTGTGAGATTTTGGCTTTTGTTGGTTTCGGATGCCGTTGTACTTTCCAGCTCGACGTTTTAACGTAGAGCCTTCTTCCACGAATTCCTTGAAGTATCCCCTATAGACCAGAGACTCGACATGATCCTCGAAGTTGCAGTAGTTGGCTGTGTATACTTCCCGTATCTAATGCACCGGGATACACATTGGTGTATACTCCCTGTACCTTGGTGGTCGGTCCGCCTTGGAGTCAGTACGTGACCCACCAGACTCCCTCTTGGCCGAGGTGGTCTGGTCTGATGATTTGCATTTTTCCTTGTGAGATGACTCATTAAGCTTCTTACTCAAGGACTGGGCCTCGAGTAACTCTTCGTCGACGATGTGCCGCTAAATCCGAGCCAGAAGGTCGACAATGGATTCAACCAGGAATTTTCTCAAAGAACGGACAAGCTTCTTATCTTTGATGTCATTCGAGAGTGCCTATAGGGCCATGCTCTCTTTGTAGTTAAGCAGACGCAACTGCTCAATGGTGAAACGGGCCACGTATTCCTTAAGATCTTCGTCGGGTTTCTGTTTGATAGACATGATGTGGGTCTCTGTTCGCCAATTGACATAGGAGTAATGAAATAGGTCGACAAACTTACGGGCCAAGTCTTGGTAGCTCGCGATCGAGAATTGAGGTAGGTTCTGGAACCATTGTCGGGCAGGGCCTACCAGGGTTCCTGAGAAGTCCCGGCACTGCTC